ATGTTCTCAACTTGGGTTTTGCTGTAGAATTTGCATTGTTTATGCTTTTCCAGAACAGAGGAAGATAGCAGAATCTGAGCGGTGGCAGCCATGACCGTATCTGGGTCACATCCACATGGGCTTCAGAGCTGCTCCTGGCTCAGCTGGGCCATTTCCTAGGGCAGGAAGGCAGGAGGGCAGGTTTTTGGGTGGTCATCAGCAATTGGATGCGGACATGACTGATCATGGAAACCCACCTCTAGGAAGGAGACCATTCCCTGTCCTAGGGTCCTGTTCTCACTGTGAGCCAGAACCCAGGCAAAAGGGAGACTCCCAGTGCAGACTGGGAACACCCTTCCAACGGCAGCCCCCAGCGTGGGACAGACAACTCACCTGCGAGAGGCGAGCTGAGAGCTTAGCTTCTCCGAGCCCAAGCCTGCATCCCCAACCTATAATATCAAAGATGTGTGATGCCCAGCTATTCTGTAAAACATAATCCATGGTTAACAACCTCTCCCTCAACTAGTTTTAATGTTCACTACCCTATGAGCTGCAGCACCAAATAAACATGATTTTCAAGTCTGCAGGTTTCTAAGCATTCTTTTTATTTTAATCCTTTTAATTTAGGTTAAATTTACTTTTGAGGTGCAGATTTTATTTTTAACTGTTCCCCTCTCATCACATTCTTGTGTGTCACAAATTTATGACGTAAAATTTCTTCAGTGAAACAAATGAGAATTCCAGCTCAGGGAGCTAGGCAGAGCATCGGTCTCGATGCAGACACACACACACTGACAGCAGGAAGGACATCTGTGTTTAATTCAGATTTACACTCCCTGTCCAAAAGGAATCCGACTTTGACCCTGCAGATGGGACAGCAGAGATCTGAAGTTGAATGCTTGGGAGAGGCCACCACAGAAACCCAGGGGCAGGGAACGGCTCGAGTTTCAGATGTCAGCCCCCAGAGATGGACCGAGGCCCCTGCCTTCGTCCAGTAAATCCCTCAGATGCTCGTCCTCAAAGGCCATGGCTAACCAACACAGACGCTTCATCTGACGTCTTCCCTGTGGCCTTTCAACAGAATATTTGACTGGGATTAACTAAGGGAACATGCCAGAGAAAAGAACATTAAACTCCAAGTATCATGAGATGGTGTCACCTCCACCCCCCCCCCCACAGCACTTGTTTGTACAAGCTAAGACTTCAGAAGCAGTTGCTTCCAGAAGCTTCTCTGAGGAGTGCACCATCTGATGTCAGATGTGTGTGTATGGCATTCGCCACATAGACAAAAACGAGGGAAGGACTCAGTTCCTGCACTCCATGCACCTCATTCCACGCCGATTTTCAGAATCTCTGACTATGCTGTTTCCGTGTGAAGCACACTGTAAATCACTTTAATCTCTGGACAATTGTCCAGGACACCACTGTCCTCTCTAGTAAAGGGTGTCAGTTATTTGTGGCTGAAAAAAGCAAAATGTGAGACAGAACACCGTTCCTAGTGGGCATGTGTCCTCGGTTTGGAAAAATGCTTCTTAAATGAATATTTGATCTCCAGATAAAGGAGTTGACTTTTTCATTGTCAAATGCAAAGTAACAAATGTCCAATGTTCAAGCAGGCTTGGGAGGCAGGGGTGGGGTCAGTGATTTAGGGGTCCTGTGTCCACAGTCCCACAATGCAGGTGCCACCAGGCCTTGGTTGGGCAAGCACCCCTTGCTGTGCCCAGGGGGAGCCCTCTCTTTGCCCACACATGTGGCCAGTGCCTCGCTCTGTGAGGTGTGGTGTGTCCCCTACAGTCCACCTCAAGGAATGTCTGAGGACAGCTGGGCAGAGTGAGCACCTAGGAGTCAGTGAAAATGTCACAGGAGGCCATGTCATAGACTAAAGGAGGCCTGTTAATTTCCAGTCTGTAAGATGTTGTCATGAAGTAAAGATTCTTATAGGAGTCCCTGAGTTGTGAGATACCCACACTGCCAGAAATTGTAGAACTGAATCATATGCAGAGAGGAAAACTTTCTGAGAGATTATCTGATAGAGAATAACATCTACTCATTCAATCACATTTCGCTCAGTGAGAAGAAACTTCATTTACCAAATTTACTAATACTAAGTATCACATCGTAACCTGTTGAGATAGATCAGGTTGAAGCAAAGCAATCCTGCGATCTTAGAGTCATACAGGACAAGGCTGCCTTGAGGGTATCAGTTTTCCACTTACTTGAGCTAAGGGTGTGTGTGTGTGTGTGTGTGTGTGTGTGTGTGTGTGTGTGTGCTCCTCAGTAAATGAATCTGAGGTTTTTCAATCAAGTTTTCACCAAAGAAGTTCAAACTAAAATAGCACACAGTTTAATGAAACCTAAATGCCCACTGAGAAAAAGGCCACAAGGACAAAATAATGATATAGAACAATGGAACTTGAGGTAGATGAGATTCGATGAATTATTTTCTTTCTTCTACTGGTAGCATTGGTTATTTAGGGAGAGAAAAACTAATTTTTCATCTCCTGAAAGTCATTTATTTTAAATGGTATGTCTGCTTTCCTGCACTACCACAAAGAAAGCTTTAGCAAGTGTTGCTGTTTCCAAATTTGAAGTTTCAATATATTTTCACTATAGATGGAACATGCAGGTGTGTAATTCAATGAAATAAGGTGAAAAGCTATTAATTTGAATTACATTTATCTCTACTTTTACAGAAATTTTCTATAGAAAGATATTTCATATCTGTGTTTTAAAATTTTTTAACTATTTTTCCCCCACAAAGTAAAATTTAATTTGTGAATCGTATTGGTTTTGTACAAGAAAAATCAAAAGACCCCATTATTCTCCATTTGGGCTGAAGTTAGAGGAAAGCGCCTTCTGGTTGAACCAGTTCCTCAGCGTCAGGAACTCTGGAGGCTCTGTGGGTATCACAGTGCTCACTACCAGCTGTGCCTAAACAGGGCCCGTGCTCCCTCTGGCCCTAAACGTGGCTCTCGGGAGTCCCCTGAAGAGCTGCTTCCAACAGGAATTGTAAGCCCTGCTCTCCGAGACCTTGATGCTGAGGCCTGGGGTGGGCTCTATAGGAAGCCCTCAGGTGCCGCTGATGCAGCCAGTTCTGGGGCCACACGCTGAGAGTTGCTCTTCTCCCTCCCCCATGACTACCGAGTTCACTTCAACATCCTTAAACCTTTTGTATGGGGACTTAGGTATGATACTACTGCTGCAGCACCTTTATTTAAAGTATGAATCAAATACTTTTTTGTTGCATTCCCTTCCTTGCAAACCCAATAGCATATTGAGGTTAATGAAAAAATGAAAGTTACATTGTCCATTCAAAAGTTGCTGATTCCTCCCCTTTGTGTGTCCTTTTTGAAGTCGGCCAGGGCTTAAGCAAACATCAAGACTAATCCACAATCAAACTGGTTAATGTGCACCTGGACACACCTGGTCCGAGGCACAGTGCAGGTGGGCAGGGGCAGGGCTGCTTGGCAAGGCTTATGTGCATGTTCTCAGCACAGAACAACAATGTATATCTGCGCACGTTGTGTCCACAGCTTCCCATGACTTTCTGCATCCCACATGGTAAGCACTAACCCTGCAGCTCCCCAGTGTCTGGCTTCACTGCTGTCCCTCCCAGGCCCTCCTGCCACTCCTCAGAGGACCCTCTGATCAGCTTCCACCCTGGGGTCTTCATGACTGTCTCAGATAAGACAGCAACACTATCGTGTGATGAACATTTTAGAAACAGCTTCTGACTATGGAATCAGATGGGACTTTAAACTCTGCAGTACCGTTCTGTCCTATAATCTCAGGTGTGAAGGAATTTTCCCAGGGACTCTTACTGGAGAGTTTACCTGCCTGCCCAGCTGCTTTGGCTGATGCCTTGGCCTTTCGGTAGCCTTTAAATGCTAAGTGTCCTAAAATAACTTGACTTTGAGCAAATCATGATGGCAGAAAAAATCCTTGATAACGTGTAGCCATTGGTCATGGGCAAAGCCACAGGTACATGCTAGAGAAAGTCTAGGCTCCAAGCTGGACATCTGTGGATGCTACACTCAAACACGTGCACAGAGAAGGGCTTGTCAGTGAGCAAAGACCACGGCTCCAGACAGAGCTTATGCTGCTCCTCTGCTGGGGAGCATAAATCTGAGCACGATGATTTGTTTATAATGTCAGTAGGAAGAACTCTGAAGCCTAAAACACATGGCAAAATTATCATTGTCATCTGAAAAAGTAACTCAGACCTGTTTACTTAGCATTTCACTGCATCGTGAAAGGAAAAACAAATGTATTCAAAGCCTGGTGAAGCGCGGGGCCAAGACAACATACTCCCAGTGGTCGTCGGCGTGGTGGTGGGTTAGCTCTGGTTAAGGGGATTGTTAGAGTTAATAACTAATCAGGGCAGAACATCATCTCAAAGGCGTTTTTACCCTGTGTGGTCTTTTTTCCTAGATAATGAGAGAAAGAAGATAAATCTCTTTCTGAAACGACTCTGTTTGTGATTGAAACACCCGTCTCTTTTGCTGAGCCAAACCCTGCATTGATGTGGGAAGCATTTCAATGTTTTGCTCTAAGCATGCCAGTTAACTCTAAATCTGATTCTTAAATCAGGAAAATTGAAAATTACAAGTGTAAAATCAGCACCAAAAAGCCCCAACAAATCACTGAAAATCATGGAGGTGCTATTGTACACACCTATTTGCTAAAGTGAGACATGAGAAAGCATTGAAAGAACTAATAAAAAAACAGTTGAGGATACTTTTAGAAGACTATGGGGAAAAAACTGAAAAACTTGGATATATTTGTTTCTTGATGGCATGTACTAAGAAACGAGCATTAAACAAGTAAATATAAAAAACTCTGCTCTTGAAATTCATGGAAATTACTCTTCTCCCTTACATGCTCTGAAAAAAAAAAATTACAAACATAAAATTCTTGAGTGTTTAAATAAAAAACTTCAGCAAATACAAAAATTAAATACACACACACGCATGTTAGTGACTGGCCCGCAGCCTTCGAATGCTGGTCAAACGGCAGCTCACCTTTGCAGTTTCCTCGGTACGCGACCTCTAACTGTGGGTCCTTGCACTTGGCACGTTGAAATTCACAGCGGGACAAGAAGGTCCTTCCGTCCGAGGCACAGAGGGGTTTCTGAGGAGAGCCCGCACAGTCCAAGCTACAGTCTTTGTCTTTATCTTGATCAACTCTCAAAAACTTGGGGGAGAAAAAAAAAAGAAGCCAGAGAAATATAAGGAAATGTTCTGTAGAGCAACAGAAAAACAGAAGGCTACCTAAGGCCACTTAATGGTCAGGGGATGAAACCACAAGGACCGGCACCATTCAGTTTTCAGCACTGCCAAAACATCCTGGGAGTGTCCTGAACAGTCACATGGTGTTGTTTCAGAAACCTCGATGATTCAGTGATTCTCTAAGTTGATATCTGATGTCTGGTACAAAACAACGTATGGGACCGTGTATCTCTGGAAGGGGGTGCACAGGTACTCTGTGTTACCTCTAATAGTCAGAGTACCGATGTTTTCCTTTAATGTGTGACTTCATTTGCTCATTTACTTCAGAGTCACCCCATTGTGCTACTCTTTTGGAAGTCACAAGTGTCAGGAATGTCCACTGTTTGGAATTGAGAGGCGATCCTTCTTAATCTAAATGGCCCAATACAATTTCACCTACGTTCTCGAGATTCGTTCTTGTGTATTCTTTTGGAGTACATCATTGCTTTTTGAACAAATATTTGGTGAATAAATGAGCAATCCTGCACCCCAGATTAAGCTCACGTATTTCTATGAAAATGCCTAATACTCCACCCTTACCACACTTCATCTGTAGCATACAGGGTGGCATCCCCCCAGGACCCTCAACAGTGGCTACTGCATGGGACATGCTCTCCAAAAGAGCCCCGATGGCTGCCCCACTGGCTCATGGCTGTCCCAGATCTCTGTGCTGGCCTTTAGAGCTCGCCGTGACTCCCAGAGATGTCTCAGACGCAGACCCTGCAGGCCCCCATGCCTGTCCTCCTTGTCCAGGAGCTGGAGTGTCCTGCCCGCTCCCTGACCTTCCAGTCCTCATTCTGCACCTCCCAGACATCAGTCCCGGCTGGTCTTATGTCAGGGCGGACAAAGCAACAAGCAAGAAGGCGAATCTCAAAATGACACTTAGGAGGGACTCATCCCACTGGATTGAGGGAGTTGTCCTAGCCTTCAGTCACTGGAATAGCCCCTGCCCTAAAAATTTGTCCTTTCTGACTTATGGAGCATTAGCAATGCATTAAACAAAAGAAGAAAAACCAAAAGGAAATGCAGAGCTGTGGTTATTCTTAATCCAGGGTAGTATGTGGACCCTCTGGGGCATATGTGAACAGGTTTATTTGGTACATTCACTCCAGGAACGTTTCTGGAGCTAAAGTGAGCGCTCATCAAAATCACCCATCACGTCACCTCGCCTGAGCTGCAGGGACTCAGCAAAAGCTCAGAGAACCCCATCAACTGATTCCTTCATCAGTAGGGGAAAAAAAAGAATCCCCAAACTCAAGATGCTTCATTCCTTGAAAAGTTAACAGAACTTCCCCCCTCTAAGTTCTGAGTGTCCTAGTTGGCTCTGTTTAAAGATAAGCCAAAAGCTGAAGTTGGAATCAACGCCACGGGGGAACAAAAGGTCCCTGGGGAACAGAGTGCCCCTGTGTGGGAACCCCAGCTCTCAGGAGGATTCCATCTGGGCTGGACCTCAGGAAGGTGTGGCTAATCTAACCTCAGTGGCCATGTCCCAGATTTCTGGGTGAAGGCTGGAGAAGGGTGAGCAGCACCTGGACAGTGGTCAGGCCTCCATCTCAGGGGAGCTCCGGGACAGAGGAGAGAGCTCGTTTTCAACTCCATTCTGAGCAGCATGAGTTCACCTGCTGAAATGACCCGTGCTCATGTCAGCCAGGAGACAAGTGAAAGCAGATCACTGCCTTCTCAGGGTTTGCAGAACATTTGTGCCTTCACTTAAAAGTGAGCCGAGCGAGTGCGTAAACACTTCCTACTGAATTCTGCCACCCGCTTCTCATCCACCCAAATTACATTTTAATTCTGTGGCACTGAGAGCGGGCAGTGCCCGAAGGAGTGACCCTTTGAGACGTGGTGGCTATGGAGCCTCATCCACCTTCTGAGGTGTGGCTTTAGTCTTACGGCACCTTCACGTTCGTGCCACTCCTGTTTTCACAGGCTCTTGAGAATTTTGGTAGACGCAGTCTCACAATGCACCACTGGCCCAGGGCAGCACAGCTCCATACCAGACAAAGAAGGGAAAGCAGCAGCGAGGGGAGCATCTGAACACACGAGGCACCAGCCACGAGCCCCTCAGTTTAGAACAGGGGTGCACCCTATAAACAGCTCTCTTCTACTTCAGATGAAAAAAATGAAATAGCCTAAATCCTGTAATTTTTATGTGTAAGCAGTGGTCTGTTTGCATTTCTTGAAACCCAAGTGAGGAAATGCTGAGGACTTAGGTAAGACATTGTAATTACCATTTTCTCCAAATGGAAAGAGATAGCCTCTACGTTTTTTATTAAAAAAAGAAAAGCCTAGCCTAGCATGCCAGCATTTGGAATTTGACCATAATTCTTGATAATCCAGTGGTGTAGAACCAACAATGGAAGTCTTCTTTCTCAGAAATAAGAGAACACACTCAATGCACATGTCTCTCCCCTCCCCATTTTTAATAGCAATTAAATTCCAAGAGAGACAGTGCATGGAAGAAAATAAGCTGTTAACTAAGCTATATTCTTATAAACAGAGCCCATGAAAAAATAAAATATTCTTATTCTAAGGAATTTACTACTTATTAAAAGAACTTTAATAAGTTTAAACAAGACCCTTCAGTGGGTCCTCAAACTTATTCAAAATAAATGGTACTTTGCCACACTTAGAATAAAATCAGCTGGAGCTTGCACAACTTTAGAAAAGAAGACCTCAGAATTACAGGGATTTCACATTTCTTCTTATTCTCACAAAGCAGTGCTGTTTGCACGGGTGCGAGCAAGCAGGTTGTAAGACCATGCAGAGGGTGCACAGAAAGTATCTTTGTGAATGTTGGGTAGCTCATGCATTAGAAGATCAGTAGGTCAAACACAAATGGATCAAAGACATCATCTATGCTTTTCTTAATAAATGCATGGGTTTAACCCAGAAGAAAAAGGTTCAACGAACTCCAGCCATTTAAAAACCAGGTTAAAACAGTCTTCAAATCTTAACATGGATGAATTTTCCCACTGTAATATTGATTAAAAACTTTTTTTACTGTTCATGATATGGAATAACATTAAGAAAATTTTACCTCTGAAATACATGATTCCATAGCTATAAGATTCACGAAAGCAGGCACTTTGTAAGTAACAGCCAGCTAGAAAGAGAAGGTAACTTCCAGCGGGTTTGCTTACTCTAAGGACGAGGTGCACAAATGAGATTAAGCAGAAGACAGCAGTGCACTGGCCGTGCAGGCAGCTCTGCCTGTTCCAGGGAATAAATATTTTTGAAATATTATTCAATATTATTTCAAATAATAGAGGGGGCAGGTGGAAAAATGGTTACAAACTCAGGCCTGCTTTAAAGAGTGTTTTCTCTGTCTGCAAGTCTGGGCTTTCTCAGGTTTCAGGAAAGAATTCCTTACGCTTTTAGTAAAAAGGAAAACCTAAATCTATGAGGAAAATGTGAAAACTATTTTTTAGAGCCTGCAATCCGAAGCTTAAATGTTAAAGTGAAACACAGAGTGGGATGTTTTCTCCCAGAAACATTGCATTTCATTCATTCATTCATCCATCCATTCATTCATCTATCCATCCATCAATTTATCCATCCATCCATCCATCCATCCATCCATCCATTCATTCTTCATTCACCCACCTATCCATTATTCATCCATCTATTCACCTGTCCATCCATCCATCCATTCACTCATTCACCCATCCATTATCATCCATCCATCCATTCATCTATCCATCTATTCATTATTTGCCTCTTTTTTGCCATTTCTTAATTAAGAATAAAGCCTCAGCTTTCTACCTTTCTAAGGCCAAAAGGCAGACCCATCTTGAATTGAGCTTATTTAATAATTTTTACATGACTACACTCTGTAAAAGGCATTTTACCCGACTCCGGGAGGCTAGAAATTCAAAGGTGTCCTTGCCCTGGTGGGGCAAGTGTAAACTTGGAGGGCAGCAGGTGTAAGTCTACTATGATACTCAGTGCCCGCAAGGCTGAGCGGAGAAGTTGGTTGAAACCAATTTTGGGAATACACAACGTCTCCTAGAAGATCATCTAAGACAACCAGAGAAGACCGCATAAGAAGAAATATGGAATGGAATCCCAGGAGACAAATCAACAGAAGGGAATGTGTAAAAGCACTAATATGGAGATATCAGAGAAAAAATGCCATTTAAAGTGGGTCTGATATATGGTCATGGTGGTGAGTGTCTAGCAACCCCATGAGATGGAAACGCCTCTGAGGAGCTGCGGAGCGAGGTGCTCACATGGAAAATGACAGCTGGTCTGTTTCCTTCAATCAGAAAATACCCATAGCACATTCTCATGACTGCAACACAGAGGTGACAGCAGTGGACACACTCCTACAGAATCCAACTGGTGTTTTAGTGCAGTTTTCTGGTCCTTTTAAAGGAACAGTTGCATCACTTATGGGTGCCAGCTGTAGGTCCACTGAAATCAGATTCCGGCTATCATTTGATTATACACAGGACTAGAACAACAATGCACTAGCGTCGGGTCCTAAAGTGGTATATTGAGAATTACAGTTGGTTCTGCATCTTTCCACTTTTGCAATCTCTGTGAGACTTAATTTTCTTATCTGTAAAATGGGAGTAATAATACTTTCTGTGCCTAACTGTGACGTACTTTGAGGATAATATAAAATATCAAGGCATCGCACGTGAGGATGGGAACCGTGAAGAACGCCCTGCACAGGAGGACGCCTGCATCCCAGCATTCGAGCGGCCCTCCCAGTGGAGCTGCCTCCCCAGGAGGTAACGGTTGCATCAAAGATGTACAACAGGCTCCCCCTCAAATGCTCCCCATCCTTCTTACCAAAAAAACAAGCGAGGCATTTGCAGGGCAGACATTGGGTCATCAGCTTTTCAAAGGGCAGTTTGTCTTCATGAGTATAAGACCCTGCGTGAAATGACCCAGTGGGGTCAGAAAGCAGCAGCAGTG